CGAAACACATCCAAATCAGTATGTTTCCCAATACGTAAATCAGCAATGGCATACTGATTTAAAAAGCTTCAAAGAAGAGACAAATGGTACAAGCATACTTATCATTTAATTGCCTTTATCGATGACAGATCTAGTTTTTGTATTTATTACGAAATTCTTCCCGATAAAACAATGAAATCAACTTCAAAAGCTTTACAAAATGCTATCGACTCTATCAAAATTATTCAATACGAACTTTTGACAGATAATGAATGCAAATTTACAGGAAAGGACTTCACAAACGTTCTTCAAGTAAATGGCATTCAACACCATCGGACAGAACCTTACACACCACAGTTAAATGGTAAAATACAACGTTTTTGGCAAACAATCTTTTCGGCTCGCCCAGATTTTATCGAAATAAGAGAATTTTTACCTCACGCAATAGAAGAATACAACACAGTATGGGTTCATACAGCTCTTAAAGATCTTTTCGGTGGAAAACCTACTCCAAAATCAATTTGGGACCAGGGTCCTAAATGGACAAAGGACTTAAACCCAAATCCTGAGTTCGAATACAGCCTCGTAACTAAAAATAAAGTAAAAATACGAATTAACATTTTATTATAATTTAAATAATTTTTTTATTCATAAAGTAATACGATATATAGCTAAGCTATGTAAGGATATTCTGATGCTGAGAGTTTAAGAACTTTAAATTACGTATAGAAAAAATTCATTTAATATTTTGTAACATTTTTTAAATTGATAGATAGTTAGATTTTGTAGGGGAAGGTAAGATTCTTTTGGTAATAATGGTCGTTGAAATTAAAATGAATGTAAGATTTGTGGAGAAATTGTATAAATTTGCATAGTGTTAGATTCAGAATAGGAGCATATGAGCCAGTGATTGTGTCTAATGTTTTTAAGGTACTAATTGGAAGTAGAAAAGAAAAAAAATGTTGCAATAACATCATATTGCAAAAAAGTTTTTAAAATATGATGTATGAATAAGAGTATGATTGGTATAGATTTGGGTTGTATAAATGTGATTGAACAATTGTTAATGGAAAGTTCAAAAACTTGGGTGCAATCAGTTCTGATTGCACCCAAGTTTTTGAACTTTGTATAAGGAATTGTTGGCTATGATGTAGTGATCATGAAACAGTACATCAGAGCCAACAATTCCTTCCCAAACAACCCGAAATTTGTCTGATTCCACACTAATTTTATTAATTTATCTAAACTTTTATCCTTGTCTACAATTTAATAATCAATAATTATCTCGCGTTCTATTTCACTATTATATATATATAGATATGATTTGATTTTAAAAAAATAAATAAATTGTTTCGTACCGAAATGGCTAACAAAAAAGTGACAGAAAACCTTAAATTGTGCGGCAATTTTAATTAAAAAAATAAACATTAATTTTTGTGATTGATATTATGCATTTTATTTATATTATATAAGATTTAAATTTAGGGGAAAAATTGGAAAAAAAATAAGATTGGAAGTCTTTAGGTAAGAAGGAAAGGGCAAGAGATATATAGTGTACCTATATACCTCTTGCCCTTTCATTCTAAGTAGAAATGGGAGAAACTTTGTCCGCATCATAAGTTATGCGGACAAAGTTTCTCCGATTTCTAATGGAATTGCAGGCTATGAGGCACTAATATATAATCAGTACCTCATAGCCTACAATTCCCCTTATTAGACTTCCAAACTTTGAGTTAATGTCAAGACATTAACTCAAAGTTTGGAAAACTTCTCGTAAGAATCAATCGTCAAAAACCTCGATTGCAGTTATATTCATTGTGTTAAATTTGATTTATTTTGAAATTTTTATAAATTAAATTTTATATAACATAAAGCGTTATGAATTAGTATTTCCATATGAATTTTATCTCGAAAATAGTAATTCTGTACAGTTATATTTCGGTTAATTTTGGAAATTTCTAGGAATACTTTAAGATAGTATGATTATATATAACTCTGCCTTCATGATTTATTTTAGCTTTCGCGCAAATATCAGTTAACTTAACTCCATTATTTGATTTTGTGATGGCTTCACAAAGCCAATCAATATCAATCTCTTCTGGAGAATGTCTTCTCATCTAGAATATTTTCAATACTTTACATACAAACATTTTTATTTCTAAAAAACTTTTTAATTTTTTTCTAGGATATATGAATGAAAATAGTTAGAACAAGATTTTGAAGCTCAAAACATTAAAAATTATTAAAGATTTGTATAATATGATTAAAAATGGGAAATAATATGAGGCAATATAAAGGAATATGAATATTAAATAAATATATCTAAATAGAAAGAATCAGAAAAATCAAATTATTGGCGCCAAAAATGTCACTTTTTTAGTGAGCCATTTCGGCATGAGATAAAAAAATAAATAAATAAATTAATAAATCATTTACTCAAATATATCAAAAGTTTTATTTTTATATATAAAGATAACTACTTTTAAAAAAATACCCTATATATTTTGCCATGTAAACTATTTTTGTCATGTAAACATATCACTTTTGTCAGAAGTGAAGTGAACCGAATTTTCCTGCACAACAAACGAGTTCAAAATTGACATCTGTAATGCATGAAAAATAGCGTGACTTCATTTTTGACAGTTTACAAATGTAAAGTGTTGCATCCTTAAAAACTTGGAAATATATAAATTCATGAATTATCTTGTATATTAATTGAAAATCCATAAAACCCTAACAATATTTTTTCTTAAAAAAAACTATAAAAATATAAATAAAATTAATCGTTAAATAAAAATATTTGATATTAGAATTTTATTGGAAAAATAAAAAACTTAATATTTTAAAGAAATACTTAAATACTTGAATTTTAACTTTTACATTATCATATAGACTCTCAAATTATTGATTGGAAACGTTTGAGGTTATCAATTTAAAAAAATTGTGATTTTTTAGATTTTTGGCAATGTTAAACGGTTAATTTTTTCTCAAAAAAAATTATTTCGAATTTCCGAAATTTTTAGCCATTTTGCTGAGAACTATGGTCTGCGAGGTACATAGATAGAATCAGTACCTCGCAGACTATAGTTCTCTATATGGCGCCGAAAATTTTTGGTGAAATGTCGTCGCATTTCACCAAAAATTTTTCGGCGCCATAGAAAAAGGGTGTAGATACTATTCATGCTATAGTACTCACACCTCCAGTTCTTAGCCAAAATCGCATAAAATTGCTACTTATCTTCAGATTACCTCCCATTATAAAATATATCATTGCTATCTCATCGTACTATACTTCCACCCTATTGTATTTAAAAATATAAAATTTTTTGATAATAATTTTTATATCTTGAATTTCAAACAATATATTCACAGATAATATAATGGGAAATCTATCTCAACCTAGCCTTAAAGTACCAAACTCCTGCTTGCATTCTCACTCACAAATATTAAACATCCATCTCCAAAAAACTAAATTCTTCACAATTTTTTTAAAATTGAGAACATAAAAAACGTATGCATTCAATAATTTAAGATACTAACAAATATTAAAAACTTCAAAATATCAGATATTAACGTTTTCCAATTAAAAAAAATATCATTTTGCTTTTCAATTCGAACATAAATCTTAAATATTTTTAATTTGTTGTAAACAGAAATTCATCAAAAGTGACACTTCAGAAAAGCTAAAATATTGAATTTTTGGAACTTTTGATAGAGCACGTTTTTAAATATTAATTAAAGTAAATGTATATTTTGTAAAGATTCTTTTTAATAAAAAAAATAAAATTTTGAAGAAGAACACAAAATCTTCTGAAAAATAATATCACATAAACTCATATTATTTTCTAATATATAACTATTTTATATAAAAATCAAATTCAATGATCTTAAAAGCGAAGGATAAACCTCAAAATTTACGAATATAATGAGTGGGAATATAATGCTTATCTATCATAAAACCATATGAAATATCAATTTTTGCTTTACGCCTAATTTTTGACGACAAATAGCAAAAAATGTTAAATGTTAACACTCAGTCCATTTGAATATGAAAAATAAAATTGGCTTTGATTAAATGTTTTATTTATCATGCAATTCTTCTTGCGACCAAAGATTTGAATAAAAGTTCAAAAAAATAAGATAGCTTAAAAAAATAATATACGGTAGTGTTACTAATAGATGAATAGTATATAAATTCTATTAAAATGGATTTGATCCAAAAAAATATATAAAATTTGATCATAAATAAAATCGTTTTAAATTACTTCTTCATTTAAATTATAACAATTATTTTTGGTTTTATATTTTTTTGGATCAAATCCATTTTAATAGAATTTATATACTATTCATCTATTAGTAAACACCCGTATATTATTTTTTAAGCTATCTTATTTTTTGAAATTTTATTCAAATCTTTGGTCGCAAGAAGAATTGCATGATAAATAAAAACATTTAATCAAAGTCAATTTTATTTTTCATATTCAAATGGACTGAGTGTTAACATTTAACATTTTTTGCTAATTGTCGTCAAAAATTAGGCGTAAAGCAAAAATTGATATTTCATATGGTTTTATGATAGATAAGCATTATATTCCCACTCATTATATTCGTAAATTTTGAGGTTATCATTCGCTTTTAAGATCATTGAATTTGATTTTTATATAAAATAGTTATATATTAGAAAATAATATGAGTTTATGTGATATTATTTTTCAGAAGATTTCATTCTATATGCCTATGAAAAGTACTCTCAAAACTAACTTTTTCCTAATTATAATTAAATCTAGAATGTTGTATTATGCTTAGTATTATTTCATTTTTCTCATTCAATTTAGAATTTACAAATGTCAAAAAATTGAGAGCTGTCACTTTTGATGAATTTCTGTTTATTACAAATTAATATCTGATTTACAGCATTATTATCCATTTATAAATCTGACAAATAAATGACAAAATCATCAGAAATAGTGTCACTTTTTGTCAAAAGTGAAGTCAGGCTATTTTTCATGCACAACACTTTCCTACATCAAGACTGTGTAAATCGACTTTGCTTTTCTTGTATAATCATGATTGTAACGTATTGATGAAATCCAATCGTTCTCGTATTTATTCAATGTTTTTTCATACATTGTTGCAATGTAGATTCCGTTCCAATCAGGACTATTGAAGTTATTAATCAACGTTGAGTACTCTTCTAATGTCATATCTTCATTCCTTTTTGCTCTTCTTTCAATGTCTGCTAATATTAAATCAACTTCATTAGGAATGATAAGGTAAATTTTAGGAAGCGCCATTAAAAAATTAAAAAAGTGACATAAAAGTGTCAAATAATAAAATATTTTAATATTATAATAAAATATGAGTGATTTAGCAGAAACATATGCAGATTATATCAAGGTCATGTATTTATTACATACTTGTCCACCAAATCAAGAATTAAATCTCATGATTGATGGTGTAAATAAAACTTTATTTAATAAATATGGTCTTGGTGATGAGTTTATATGCCTTTAATATTTAAAATATTACTTAAATGTGATTGCTTTCAAAAATTAGAAGATGTTTTTGATTGAAGAAAAATAATTTTTATAATTATATTTTGTTTGATTAAAATTGTATATACAATATCAGCGATTTATAAAATTGTTTACCTGAACGACAAAGTTTATTAGAAAGCATATTATCGTCCAAGATTCAAATGTATATAATCAAATGTTATTTAATTAGTGCATAAAACAAAATAGTTACCTAACTTAATTCATCTAATTAAAATTGGTTTATATTTTGTGATATTCGAGTGCTATATCATAAACAATACCAGATGAAGGAAAACAACGTTGTATTGTAATGTATCTTATAATTAATCATTTCTTAAATTTGTTCTGTCTATTATTTTTCTCATGGTTTTTATATAATGCTATGATAAGTGAAGTCAACCGAGTTTTCGTGCAATACATAAAAAAATTAAAATTAATTAATATTATTGAACAAACTTGATATCACCTTTTACAAGATCAACGACTAATTTTCCATGTTCACCTAATTGTTGATATTGACAATATAACTCATTTATAGTCATTGGTAAATTCACTTGATATAACATCACATTTAATTGTTGTCTGCTAAAACCTGAAAATATAAATAATGTTGACAAGTTTGATTTAATATTTGTACTTAATGCTTTAAAGAATTGAACTGCTAAGAAGAAACTACATTGTATATGTCTACATTGCGTTAACCATTTATTGAATTTAGAATTCGGTTTTTAAATTAAAGAATATTTGACTACATCATCAAGAAATATGAGTGTATGTTAGAAATCTTTAGAATAGTCAGAAATCTGCAATGTTTCAAACATTTCCATAGTCTATTTATCAACTATTCGATTTTCTAAATGTTCTTTTTTCACTAAATTATATAATTCTTTAATGATTCAAAAGTTGAATCTGAAACAGTGCCAGAACGATTTATATAAATTAACATATGACAATATGGGTCATTTTGTGATATTTTAATTATTTCTTTAATTATTGCTAATGTTTTACCTTTTATCACATACGGAAATAGTTCCCCAAAAAGTGACAATATGGGCGGGAATTTTTTTATTCGATTTTGATTGAAAAATTTAATGGAAAATTATATAATAAACTATAGATCCGTATTTTTCCCAAGTGAGCGGGGTATCTCCAATCCCAGCCCTATCGTCCTCCCAGTGTCAGTTTTCAATATAAAATCCAAATTTTTTTTGAAAATAAAAATTTCGAGAAATTTTTCTGATTTTTTTTCTTTGATTTCAATAATTCAAAATAAATTTGGGAGTAAAAAGACACTATTTAATGAAATTCATATGAGTGAATGTGGATAAATACTCTCAAAACATACAATTTATCTATTTTTTCTTTATATTATCAACTAATTAGTGATAATTTTTTTGAATCAGATTTTTTTTCATTAAAAACATAATATATACACACAACAATGATGCACACATACGTATCTACACATCAAAATATAAAGCTTGTTTTGGTCTGGGCATCCCAACCCAAAATTCTTTAAAAATTGAATAAAATTGAATACTTGGGGCTGGGATGCCCATCCCAAAACCGAATTGAATTTTTTGAATTAAAGAATATATTTATGTATTTATAATATACATGTGATGTCTATAAAAAATACTAAATTCTAAAAAAAATTCAATTTATTCAAAACGTATACTAAGTGATCACTTCATTAGTAGGATCAGCAATCCTACTAAATGGTGAGAACGCCACTAACTAAAAAAGGAGTCCTTGGAGCTCTTGATCTCTTGTCAGTAGAGTTCATAATGAGGCATGGCATCTACTGATTAGAGATCAGAGCAATCCTACCTTACCTTCAGGAGCTACAAAGCTCCTAATCGTTACGAGAGGGAGTCTTGGAGCTCCTGAAGCTCATCAGCAGAGGCTATTTACCATTTGGGCCTCTTCTGATGAAAGATGCGAAACACGTCTACGAACCAGGAGCTTCAAAGCTTCTAATCCTTACTAAAGGGAGCTTTGGAGCTCCTGAGTCTCCATCAACAGAGTCCCAGATGGTAAATGTCCTTTGCTGATGAAAGATGCGAAACACATCTACGAACCAGGAGCTCCAAAGCTCCTAATCCTTACGAAAGGGAGCTTTGGAGCTCCTGAAACTCCTTTTACTATAAAATATGACAGTTTTCTTCTGAGGTTCTCATCAAATCTAAGACTTCAGAAGAAAGCTGTCCTATCAATGTATACTTACACTCTCATGGACTACAAGTGTACAATTTTAAAGCAGAGATTATCCGAGGCCTCTCATCAAATGAGGGACCTCGGATAATCTCTACCTTAAGTAGTCAAATAACTTTTCTCACTATTTAGGAACAAAAGAACAAGAGTTGGAGTACTTTAAGGCAAGATTCTTCCGAAATCTCTCATCGAATGAGAGACTTCGGAAGGACCTTGCCAAATCCTTGAACGCCAATATCCTTGGAACTGAGCTAGAACCAGGGAGAAGTAGCATACTATAGAGCACGATGGTAATCTCGGAAATACTTATATCGCCCCAAGCACAATATTTAAGAAGTCTAACTCATATATACAAGAAGTCAGGCTGAATAGATATTGTGCATATGGTTTGCAGAACTCTCATGATATTTAAAATTCATGTTATCCCAAAAAGGTGACACTTTGGGTGTATCGTCCATCCCATGGATGCAAAAATCACATCACCTTGGATCTATATAATAAACCATTTTAATTTTTTATTTTTCAAAAATTTATTTCTTTTCTCAATTTTTAAATTAAAAAGATTATTTTTAATTTTTTAATAAAAAACGAAAAAGTGTTAAAAACACAAATGCGTGAAAGGAATTGTTGCCTTGAAGATACTGAATATGGTTCAGTATCTCCAAGGCAACAATTCACTCACTGAACAACAAAAGCTTTCTTGCAATTGTTCATAATTGCAAGAAGGCTTCGTAGCTTTAGAAACGAAATTTAAGCCATGGGGGCCTACTATTAAATGCTATGCTCTAAAAGCATAAACTCCTTTCCAAATGACTAAAAATTGGGCGCAATGTAAAAAATTGCACCCAATTTTTAGCCATTTGGCTAGGAATTGGAGGGCGTGAGTACTATTGTACGTAATAGTATCTCATACCCTCCAATTCTTCCTATGGCGCCGAAAAAAAATTCAATATTTAAATTTTTATTTTCAAGAGAAATTATATTTTTCCCAAATTATATATATGATAAATTTCTAAATCAATTTTTAACTCATTTTTTATTTTTAAATTATAAGTATTCAAATTTTCGCCAAAAAGGTTTTGTGTCACTTTCCTGTCACTTTTTGGAGAATTATTTCCGTACACCACACACAAAGAGATTATTTAGGTGATAGTCCATTAACTTTACCAAATATGCAAAATGAAAGTGCTGATTTAATTGACTTTAATCTGTTGTAAGACGAGTTACGGAAAGTGAGGTGAACCGAAAAAGTGACACTTATTTGGTCGGATAAATTCCCTATATATTTACTTGTCAAAAAAAATCAGACTGTAATAAACAGAAATTCATCAAAAGTGACAGCTCTCAATTTTTTGACATTTGTAAATTCTAAATTGAATGAGAAAAATGAAATAATACTAAGCATAATACAACATTCTAGATTTAATTATAATTAGGAAAAAGTTAGTTTTGAGAGTACTTTTCATAGGCATATAGAATGAAATCTTCTGAAAAATAATATCACATAAACTCATATTATTTTCTAATATATAACTATTTTATATAAAAATCAAATTCAATGATCTTAAAAGCGAATGATAAACCTCAAAATTTACGAATATAATGAGTGGGAATATAATGCTTATCTATCATAAAACCATATGAAATATCAATTTTTGCTTTACGCCTAATTTTTGACGACAATTAGCAAAAAATGTTAAATGTTAACACTCAGTCCATTTGAATATGAAAAATAAAATTGACTTTGATTAAATGTTTTTATTTATCATGCAATTCTTCTTGCGACCAAAGATTTGAATAAAAGTTCAAAAAATAAGATAGCTTAAAAAATAATATACGGTAGTGTTTACTAATAGATGAATAGTATATAAATTCTATTAAAATGGATTTGATCCAAAAAAATATATAAAATTTGATCATAAATAAAATCGTTTTAAATTACTTCTTCATTTAAATTATAACAATTATTTTTGGTTTTATATTTTTTTGGATCAAATCCATTTTAATAGAATTTATATACTATTCATCTATTAGTAAACACTGTTATATACGAAAACGATAAAAACAGTTTGACAGAAAAGTGACAACTTTACGTGTCAAAAATATAAAAAGTGATATTTTATTCATCATTATCTTCTTCATAATTTATTTCATATTCTTCGTCTTACCAACAAAAGATGGGAATGTGAACAATTGCGGGCAATTTTTAGCCATTTTGGCTTGGAACTAGAGCCTGCGAGGTACATGGATAGTATCAGTACCTCACAGGCTCTAGTTCTCTATATGGCGCCGAGAAATTTTGGTGAAATGTGGTCGCATTTCACCAAAATTTTTTCGGCGCCATAGGATGAATTGGAGGGTGAGAGATATTATTTCATACAATACTACTCTCACCCCCAATTCCCAGCCAAAATGGCTAAAAATTGCCCGCAATGTGAACAATTGCGGGCAATTTTTAGCCATTTTGGCTTGGAACTAGAGCCTGCGAGGTACATGGATAGTATCAGTACCTCACAGGCTCTAGTTCTCTATATGGCGCCGAGAAATTTTGGTGAAATGTGGTCGCATTTCACCAAAATTTTTTCGGCGCCATAGGATGAATTGGAGGGTGAGAGATATTATTTCATACAATACTACTCTCACCCTCCAATTCCAAGCCAAAATGGCTAAAAATTGCCCGCAATGTGAACAATTGCGGGCAATTTTTAGCCATTTTGGCTTGGAACTAGAGCCTGCGAGGTACATGGATAGTATCAGTACCTCACAGGCTCTAGTTCTCTATATGGCGCCGAGAAATTTTGGTGAAATGTGGTCGCATTTCACCAAAATTTTTTCGGCGCCATAGGATGAATTGGAGGGTGAGAGATATTATTTCATACAATACTACTCTCACCCTCCAATTCCAAGCCAAAATGGCTAAAAATTGCCCGCAATGTGAACAATTGCGGGCAATTTTTAGCCATTTTGGCTTGGAACTAGAGCCTGCGAGGTACATGGATAGTATCAGTACCTCACAGGCTCTAGTTCTCTATATGGCGCCGAGAAATTTTGGTGAAATGTGGTCGCATTTCACCAAAATTTTTTCGGCGCCATAGGATGAATTGGAGGGTGAGAGATATTATTTCATACAATACTACTCTCACCCTCCAATTCCAAGCCAAAATGGCTAAAAATTGCCCGCAATGTGAACAATTGCGGGCAATTTTTAGCCATTTTGGCTTGGAACTAGAGCCTGCGAGGTACATGGATAGTATCAGTACCTCACAGGCTCTAGTTCTCTATATGGCGCCGAGAAATTTTGGTGAAATGTGGTCGCATTTCACCAAAATTTTTTCGGCGCCATAGGATGAATTGGAGGGTGAGAGATATTATTTCATACAATACTACTCTCACCCTCAATTTTAATTACTTAAACTCATTCTATTTTTTTGACATGTAAATGTCACTTTTACTGAGATCTGACACAATGTCAGATCTCTTTTTTTCGTATATAAGAACACTACCGTATATTATTTTTTAAGCTATCTTATTTTTTGAAATTTTATTCAAATCTTTGGTCGCAAGAAGAATTGCATGATAAATAAAAACATTTAATCAAAGTCAATTTTATTTTTCATATTCAAATGGACTGAGTGTTAACATTTAACATTTTTTGCTAATTGTCGTCAAAAATTAGGCGTAAAGCAAAAATTGATATTTCATATGGTTTTATGATAGATAAGCATTATATTCCCACTCATTATATTCGTAAATTTTGAGGTTTATCCTTCGCTTTTAAGATCATTGAATTTGATTTTTATATAAAATAGTTATATATTAGAAAATAATATGAGTTTATGTGATATTATTTTTCAGAAGATTTTGTGTTCTTCTTCAAAATTTTATTTTTTATTAAAAAGAATCTTTACAAAATATACATTTACTTTAATTAATATTTAAAAACGTGCTCTATCAAAAGTTCCAAAAATTCAATATTTTAGCTTTTCTGAGGTGTCACTTTTGATGAATTTCTGTTTACAACAAGACTTTTTTTGCTTTAAAAAATTTATAAGTTAATTATTGAGAACGAAGGTGAAAGGAAATGGATATCTCTTACCTTTCATTCCCTCGAGAAAGTTCAAAAACTTGGGTGCAATCAGAACTGATTGCACCCAAGTTTTTGAACTTTGTATAAGGAATTGTTGGCTATGATGCACTGATCATGAATCAGTACATCATAGCCAACAATTCCTTCGCAAACAGCGGGAAACTTTGTCCGAATAGTTTAACATTCGGACAAAGTTTCCCAACTTTCAAGCCGAAATTCGCGGATACCATTCACCAACTAGCTCTTGCTATGATGGTTATTAAAAATCAAGATCTATATTAAATTCAAAATCTACTCAAAGTCACTAATGTTCGATTTCGGAGTGTCAAATTACTGTACTACAGTTGCTGCTTCTTCTGCAACTTGCGTATCTCTGTAACGAAGAAAAAAAATATGTAAATGTTTTAAAAAGTAAGTGTTTATTCTTATTAATCTGACTGAGCTTAGTAAGAAGATGTAATCGATATTGTTAATTTGTGTTAAAAATTAGATTTTATTTTCGATTTTAAAATATTACCGAATTAATTTCTTTGATTGGCTCTCCTCTCGCGGAAATGTTGAAGAGAAATCCTCAAATCCTTAATTTCTCCATCAACTTTCCAAAGGGGTTCTTTGGTGGTATCATATTTTTCGCTGATATCATAAAATTTGTTTGGTGTAAACCAGGTATGTATTTCTGGATTTTTTGGTAACTGTGTATGTGGTGTTGCGTTATAATTTTCGATTAAATTTTGAATTTGATCCCAAGCTACCTCATCAACTTGAATATTCTGCCAAAATCTTTCGATTTTGCCATTCATGTAAGGGCAGTGTGGTATTATCGTGATTGATTCGACGTTTGCATTTTTTAATAAATTTTTGAAAACACCGTAGTTTTCAAGCCCATTGTCACTCCATATGGCAAACGGTTTGCCATATACATCGAAACATTGTTGAATGACACGACTTGTTTGTGCCGCTTCTTTAGTTTCGAGATGTGACCAAGCCAAAATTTTTCGTGATTTATCGTCAATAACGGCATATAGATATTCACCTTGGCGATGATTTAAAAAGTGAATATCTACATGCCATATTTCATTAACGTAAAAAGCTTCGTATTTTGTTTGACCTTTTGCCTTTGAATTTTTTGGCGGTTGTGCAAGATTGAGAAGTTTGAAACATTTATTAACAGTTCTTTCGGAAAATTGAATGTTCAATAATTTACGGTCAAAATAATCTGTAGTTTTTTCAAATGTTGAAGTTGTATTTGTGCGTATTGAATATGGGTCATCTTCTGAATTTATATCCGATTCTGTATCAATTGAATTTGGACTTGATGAAAATAATTCTTCGGCTGATGAATCGTCGGAATTTGAAGAGATTTCTGATGATAACTGTTCAGATGAACTTGAAATGTCAGGAGAACTGTAATCAAACTCTGAATTTTGATTCCGTTGAGACAATTGTGGAATTGGAAAATGAATTTGAATATTTTGTTGATTTTGCATTTGCGATTCAAGTATCATTTGACGATCTGTTATAATTCGGCCGAAAGCCCGGGAAATTCCTATTTTTTGAACTTTATTATGTAAATTTTGGACAGTATTTATTAATTCTTGTGGTGGATCTTTTGGTTTTGGACCTGTACGTAATTTTGGAATTTCAATTTGATTGAAATTAAGAGCGTTTTTAAAAGTTTTATGTGATATTGTGGGAAGAATTCTTCCATCTGTTAAAGGGACATTTTGGAGAACGGTTTCGACGTTAATACCGCTTTGAATTTGTTGATTAGCTTGATTTAACCATTCTAAATCAATTAAATCGAAGATTCTACCACTCATTTGAAAATTATAAGTTTTGAAAAAAACCGTAAATCATTATTGAATCTAAAAATATTTATGTACAAAAAGTCGGTATATATTCTATAATTATTTAAAATAATGAAAAAGTTGATTTGTGAATCATTGAAATATTAATGCTTATATATATATATCAGATGATATAAGATGATTTTTTTAAATAAAAAATAAAATTTAATTTTTTAATTGTTAAAATAAGAATAGTAAGCTTGACAAGTAATTTAAGTTTTTGCTTTGTAAAGTTATTTGGTTGGCAAATGCATTGTGTCACTTTTTGTTTGAGTTCACTTTCCGTAATTTGTCTTATGATAAATCAACAACCACAACAACCTTTATATGATGAGTTAATAAATTATCAACAACAACTAACATATGACGAGACAATGAATTATCCACAAAATAATCAAAATTGGACAAGATATGACTATTTCAATGACCAAGTTCCTCAATATATTGGTCAAAATTATTATTTAAATTAAAAATTAATTGTCTATTCTGAAACTATTAACTATTTTTGTCCCTTTTTGGAATGTTTTATGTATCTTCTGTCAATCATATCTGCATAATGGTATCTTGCACGTCTTTTGAAGTCGTGATACATGTACCGGTGGTGTTCTTAAAAGATTTGGTTAATATCAACCTCTTTGCCTTGCATCAACTGATCAAGCATGAACCTTAAGGCATTTTCATTGGCTGTTCTGAGAATGTTCCTGCAATCATCTTGAAGTCTGAAAACTTCTTCATTTACTGGATTCTTCTGGAAGAATTTTTTAAGACTTGTTATGATGAAATTGTCTCCGTAGATGTCCCTAATAAATTTGTAGTGTGTTCCATCAATCTTCAAAAGAAAATCATTTGTAATTTCACCCTCTTCGAGATATAGACATCCACATGCTTTTTTGTCCTTCATATCTAATGGAGTTTTTGTGGTAAGACGAAAAGTGGAAAGTGAGGGGAACTGAAAAGTGACAGTTATTTGGTCGGCCATTGCCTCTATAAGTTTACATGACAAAAATATTTGTTAATGGAAAAAGACTTTATTTTGAGCGAACACATATATTATCAAAATAGTTTTAATTATTAAATGGATCATATTGCGCCGAAAAATTTTTGGTGAAATGCGACGACATTTCACCAAAAATTTTTCGGCGCCATATAGAGAACTAGAGTCTGCGAGGTACTGATTCTATCTGTGTACCTCGCAGACCCTAGTTCTAAGCCAAAATGGCTAAAAATTGCTCGCAATGTGAACAATTGCGAGCAATTTTTAGCCATTTTGGCTGAAAATGTAGAATGTTCGTAAGTCAATCTTGGCTTCTTTATTCCTCTACGTAATTTCCTTATGGTTTGTCACATTTATAAATTTAATAACTTCAACATTTTGAATCTTTCTTTTCCGCTCTTGTTCTTTTGATAGTAGTTTTATTTCCTATTAGGCTTTTTCCGATTGTGTATTAAGTTTGCAAATCCATAAACTTTTAACAATGAAATTTTAAAAAAAGTAAAATAACGTAAAAATGAATGTTTATTCGTAGATTTTGTGTGTGTGTATGGGAGCCATCTGTAACCTGTCGAGAGTTCGATAATTCTTGACTTTTTTCTGTAAATATGAAATTTAAGTATGATTAATGTGCCGAATTTGCCCTTCTTTGTCTGAAATGCTGTAAGGAGGTTCTGAGATCTTTGACTTCACCGTCAACTATCCAGAGTGGCTCTTTTGATGAATCAAATTTTTCTGCAACTTCATAAAATTTATTGGGAGTATACCACGTGTGAAGTGCTGGGTTACGAGGCAATTTTGTATGCGGAGTTGAGTTGTAATTCTCGATTAAATTTTGAATATCTTCCCAACTCACATTCTCGATTTCTATATTCTGCCAAAACCGTTCTATCTTACCGTTCATGTAAGGGTAATGAGGTATGATAGTAATGGATTCGACATTGGCATTTTTTAATAAATCTTGAAAAACGCCATAGTTCTCCAAACCGTTGTCGCTCCAAATTGCGAATGGTTTTCCATAGCAATCGAAGCACTCTTGAATTACACGGCTTGTTTGGGCTGTTTGTTTGGTTTCAAGATGAGCCCATGCCAAAATTTTTCTTGACTTATCGTCTATTACGGCGTAAAGATATTCACCTTGAACATGATTCAGAAAATGAATATCAACATGCCAAATTTCGTTTGTGTAAAATGCTTCGTATTTTGTTTGACATTTCGGTATTGAATTTTTTGGCGGTTGTGAAATATTGAGAATTTTGAAACATTTGTTGATTGATCTTTCTGGAAATTGAAGATTCAATATTTTTTATTGACATAATCTGTTGCTCTTTCAATATTTTGTGTCGTATTTGTGTGAATTTGATATGGATCTTCATCGGATGATAACGTATTTTCAGAATCTTCTTGATTTGAATGGTTAGAAAATAATTCTTCAGCAGAACTTGTTTCTGATTCAGTATTCAATTCAGAGAGTTGTTCAGAAGAGCTTGAAAGTGAAGGATCGCTATATTCGAATTCTTGATTTTGATTGTTATAATTTAAATGAAGAAGTAATTTAAAACGATTTTATTTATGATCAAATTTTATATATTTTTTTGGATCAAATCCATTTTAATAGAATTTATATACTATTCATCTATTAGTAAACACTACCGTATATTATTTTTAAGCTATCTTATTTTTTGAAATTTTATTCAAATCTTTGGTCGCAAGAAGAATTGCATGATAAATAAAAACATTTAATCAAAGTCAATTTTATTTTTCATATTCAAATGGACTGAGTGTTAACATTTAACATTTTTTGCTAATTGTCGTCAAAAATTAGGCGTAAAGCAAAAATTGATATTTCATATGGTTTTATGATAGATAAGCATTATATTCCCACTCATTATATTCGTAAATTTTGAGGTTTATCATTCGCTTTTAAGATCATTGAATTTGATTTTTATATAAAATAGTTATATATTAGAAAATAATATGAGTTTATGTGATATTATTTTTCAGAAGATTTCATTCTATATGCCTATGAAAAGTACTCTCAAAACTAACTTTTTCCTAATTATAATTAAATCTAGAATATTGTATTGTTCCATATTAAGTTCTGTCAAAATGTAAGCTATTCAATTCTATCGTCGGGGAAAGTATCACAAATCTATCAATTTTTTTGTAAAAGTATACAAAAACATATGGTGTTCAATTAGTTTATAATAATATAAATATTAAGATTATCCAAAATAAGAAAAACTAGGTTTTGAGAACACTTTTGAGATGATAATCAAAATATTTTGATTGAAAAATAATATATTATTTATCAGATATAGAATGGATTTTTTCAAATTTAAAAATTCTGAAAAATAAACAGTTTTGTAAAGTAAAAAAAATGAACGAAAACTCGAGACCTCGTATTCCAAATGAATGGGTAAGATATATGTATGAAAAACTTGAAAGTGGTGAGTAAGGATGTCAATTTGGAAGAAAAGTGAGAAAATTTTGATTGTGAACTCATCTCTAATATTTTGGCTCCTTAATATATTTGAATCATGATCTTTGAGAAGAGTTCTCAAAAGTATTCACAAAAGCTATTTTTCCTTGAAATTTAAAAATCCTGTTTATCATATATTACCGAATTCAATTCCCTACATATTTCAAAATATTCTATGAACATTTCAATTTTTGAAAAAAAAAACATATTTTTTCCAAATATATTTATTATCATATTTCTAATAATATTTCCTAAAGCGTCACTTTTTACTTCCTCGACAATTATTTCCCTCTCAAAAAATTCAATAGCTTACATTTTGACAGAACTTAATATGAAACAGTATTATGCTTAGTATTATTTCATTTTTCTCATTCAATTTAGAATTTACAAATGTCAAATAATTGAGAGCTGTCACTTTTGATGAATTTCTGTTTATTACATTTCCACCTCTCAATTTTACCATTTGCTTCGGGGTTGCCTGTTAGACTAAATATTTTTTATCAATATTTTCTTTTCCGATGTCAGTACATATTGCATCAATTCTGCCCTTCTTCTTAGATAAGAAGAATGATCGTTTGAGCAGATGGATATGTTACTGAGAAACATTGCTTGTTATGTTTCCATCTACTATGTAGAGCATCATCCAATTCTCTTTTGTGCGGGGCCATTGCTTGTCAAAATATGCCAATGCTCTAGATCCTTCCTCTTCAAGTATCGATGTTCTTATGAGCATTTAAAAGATAAAATTTCAAAATTTTAGGTGTAGCAAAAAAAACTTGCCACCTTAGCGCAAGCTCTCAAAACAATGACAGAGCACCACGAAAGTTTTGCGAGCGGAAATTCATTCTCTATTGCTCTTGCTGTTGCATGCTAAGTTCGGTCAACGATAGAAATTGAGTGGAAATTAATCGTCGAGGAAGTACGATTATGCAAAGTAAAAAAATGTTGTGGGATTTTTAATATTATATATTATTTTATAATAAAATTTTTGAGTCATTTTAAGAAGCACATATAATTTTTTGAATTTAAAAATTAAAGTAGTGTCAAACGAATTTATCACTTAATTTAATACTCAGATTTCTTAAAATTAATGAAAAAAAGGTTTTCTGAGAACTTTTGAGAATGGTTTTCAAATTCCATTATTGAAAATATATAGGTATTGTATGAAATTCAAACTCTATATTTATTAAATTTCTAAATTCTTAATAAAATAACTTTTCAGAGGAATATGATTTTGAATGGTTGATTAATAAGTATAAAAATGTCTACGATTTTAAGGAGGGAATTGTTCCTTATGAGGTATTCATCATAACTATATACCTCATAAGGAACAATTCCATCTTGATAGCTGGGAAACTTTCTCTGAATAACTTATCATTTGGAGAAAGTTTCCCAGCTATCTATTAGAAACTAAAGGCTATGAGGCACTAATATATAATCAGTGCCTCATAGCCTTTAGTTTCTTATTAAAAACGAGAAAACTTGTTCGAAATGATAAACAATTTCGAACAAGTTTTCTCGTTTTAAGGAGGGAATTGTTCCTTATGAGGTATACATCATAACTATATACCTCATAAGGAACAATTCCCTCTTGATATCCTGGATATTTTTGAATATATTTTTTTAATTAAAGTTCTCAAAAGTATTATCAAAAGTGATTTTTTAAAAATATCTCCAATTAATTAACTAATTAAAAGTATTATATTTTTAAAATTAAATAGTTTTTCAATTTTTTTGAAGGAATTGAGATACTTCCCACGACAATAAAATTGAGAGGTTTACATTATGACTGATCTTAGCATGCAACATTGCAATATTAAGAGCACAATTTTCACTCTAATATCACGGATAATGATGAGCGAACTGGCATAATGTAACCACACAATATTGAATTTTTTCAGCAGTTTGAGGATTGACGATAAAATACAACATTTACAAATTGATTTTTAGCCGTTTTCATTGTGATGGCAAATAATTGAATTCTTTCTTCTAGTAAAGAATGTTGTATACGAAAAATTTACATGTCAGATCCGGAAAAGTGGCAACTTTACGTGTCAAAAATATTTTTATTCATAAATTTTTACCTTGCTTTCCAATTGGTTCGAACTCCATCTCTTCTCCGTCAACTAGCCATCTCTCAGTGGTTCTCTCCGCCATTGTCCAACCATATTGAATGGTGAGGACCAAACCTGGCAATGGCCCTTTCAATTACAATCACCATTTGCTTGGTCTCTTTGGTGCTCAAATATTGCCAGTCGATGATCATGCGTGATCGATCATCGATAACAGCATATAGGATTTCACTTCTCTTTTTACCTAAGAAGTGGATATCCACATGCCTGATCAAGTTCGGCTGGCATGCTTGGTATCTGGTCTTGCCTTTCTTCTCTTGCTTCTCTCTATGCTGAGCAATGCCAAGTGCAGTAAATGCCTTGCTGATCATATGTCGGGATGGAGTATCAGGTAAAGGTATGTCCAGATATAATATGTTCTTTAATATGAGTAAATATGATACTAGATCATCATCTATTGTCAGATCTTTTGGCACTGACTTGTTGATGCGATTAAGATGAATGTCTCTTCGAATGGTGTCGAACCATTCTTGTGTTTGGCTTTGATCAGGCAACTCACCATTCTTGGCTTTGACAAAATCCTCAAAGTGTTCTTCAGCATATGAAATATCTTGATTAAGAATTTCATAAACTGCAATAATCCCCATTCGGCCGTAGTTTTCTCTGAGGTTGCTGATCGATTCAAGCAAATTCTGTGGTATTTCTTTAGGTGGCCGACCGCGATGGACAGTGATCTCAACTTCTGGTACGGCAATAGTATCATTATCAGATGAAGTTGATTCTTCGGAAGAAACTTCAGATGGTATTTGAGATGTTTCATCAAATTGCTGTGATGGCTCGTCTTCTTCTTCTCTTTGTTTTTCTTCAGCATCATGTGATGGAGAGTCTGTATCTTGTTCTGTTGTCTATTGGATGTCAAGATTTGGTAATTCATAGTAGTCGAAGGGGCTGTGAACTATATCTTCGGGTTGAAGAGGGGGAAGTTCTGTATTATCGAGATGTATTGACTCGTATAGTTTGTTATTGATCAATAATTTGAGTGAATGAAAAGTAGTATACTTAGGACTACGGATGTTCTAGACACCCTATTATGATTTTTTTGCTATCGTAGGATAATAATTCTAGTGATATTATCGCGAAAATAGGACAAATTTCTTGAACTGTTCTGTAGTAATACGATGATTACAATATAAAGCTTTGTAGTAAGTGACTGGATCAATCTTTGGTCTGATCCCTCCATTTAGTAGTGGTACGTTCACCAGCGCTGCTGGATTGTATGGTATGCGTAAATTGGCGGTTAGCCAATGGGGATCTTTTTTGGTATAGAGCTCCATAACAAAATGCAAAAGAATACCATTCAAAAGCTAGCCCAAATCATATTTGAATTAAACTACTATTATAATTGTGAAAATGACAAAGTTTCTCCCATTTTAATAAGGAATTGCAGGATAAGAGGTACATATTCATACTATGTACCTCTTACCCTGCAATTCTTTCTATAAAGTGGCCAAACTTTGTATCATTAAAAACTTTTTTGGAAATTAATAATTTGACACTTTACTTTGTCAAATCCGAATTTTCGTATATTAGAACAATCTAAAAAGGTTGTAAAACTGGTTAAAATGTCAGAAAGTCTCGAAGCCAAAGCACGGACGAAAAGAAATCTAAAAAATTTATAAATCTCTTAAACATGATTCCTTTGTAATTGAAGACAAAGCTTATACCTTAGATTTTCAACTTAAAAACGATACATTAGGAAAAGAGAAATAAGTAGTCAACAGAATTTACAAATTCAAGATGGAAACCAAGTTATTGCCAAAGATATAGTGTACTGCAGTATTACCAATTCCATAGTACACATTTTAACCAAGAAAACGTGATTTTACCATCAAGTTACTCTTCACTTATTCTTATAAAACAGATATTTTACTAACAAAATAACACAAATTCCAATTGAGTTCATTAAAATATCACTTTCTAGACTCCCAAATGCCTAGAATTAACTCCAAATTTGTTGACCCCAGCCGAGAATGAAAGGGAAAGAAAATATATTTTTGGTTGAAAATTCGAGGAAATATTAAGGTTTCAACATCAGTTCACTTCCACCATTTCTTCTTAGAACACCTAGCCATGGCAGAAACTTTGGACGAATCTTAAATTATTCAGCCAAAGTTTCTCAGATTTTTTGAGGGGATTGGAGGCTCGTGATAGTGAACCATGTTGTAAACAGAAATTCATCAAAAGTGACACCTCAGAAAAGCTAAAATATTGAATTTTTGGAACTTTTGATAGAGCACGTTTTTAAATATTAATTAAAGTAAATGTATATTTTGTAAAGATTCTTTTTAATAAAAAATAAAATTTTGAAGAAGAACACAAAATCTTCTGAAAAATAATATCACATAAACTCATATTATTTTCTAATATATAACTATTTTATATAAAAATCAAATTCAATGATCTTAAAAGCGAATGATAAACCTCAAAATTTACGAATATAATGAGTGGGAATATAATGCTTATCTATCATAAAACCATATGAAATATCAATTTTTGCTTTACGCCTAATTTTTGACGACAATTAGCAAAAAATGTTAAATGTTAACACTCAGTCCATTTGAATATGAAAAATAAAATTGACTTTGATTAAATGTTTTTATTTATCATGCAATTCTTCTTGCGACCAAAGATTTGAATAAAATTTCAAAAAATAAGATAGCTTAAAAAATAATATACGGTAGTGTTTACTAATAGATGAATAGTATAAATTCTATTAAAATGGATTTGATCCAAAAAATATAAAACCAAAATAATTGTTATAATTTAAATGAAGAAGTAATTTAAAACGATTTTATTTATGATCAAATTTTATATATTTTTTTGGATCAAATCCATTTTAATAGAATTTATATACTATTCATCTATTAGTAAACACTACCGTATATTATTTTTTAAGCTATCTTATTTTTTGAAATTTTATTCAAATCTTTGGTCGCAAGAAGAATTGCATGATAAATAAAAACATTTAATCAAAGTCAATTTTATTTTTCATATTCAAATGGACTGAGTGTTAACATTTAACATTTTTTGCTAATTGTCGTCAAAAATTAGGCGTAAAGCAAAAATTGATATTTCATATGGTTTTATGATAGATAAGCATTATATTCCCACTCATTATATTCGTAAATTTTGAGGTTTATCATTCGCTTTTAAGATCATTGAATTTGATTTTTATATAAAATAGTTATATATTAGAAAATAATATGAGTTTATGTGATATTATTTTTCAGAAGATTTCATTCTATATGCCTATGAAAAGTACTCTCAAAACTAACTTTTTCCTAATTATAATTAAATCTAGAATATTGTATTGTTCCATATTAAGTTCTGTCAAAATGTAAGCTATTCAATTCTATCGTCGGGGAAAGTATCACAAATCTATCAATTTTTTTGTAAAAGTATACAAAAACATATGGTGTTCAATTAGTTTATAATAATATAAATATTAAGATTATCCAAAATAAGAAAAACTAGGTTTTGAGAACACTTTTGAGATGATAATCAAAATATTTTGATTGAAAAATAATATATTATTTATCAGATATAGAATGGATTTTTTCAAATTTAAAAATTCTGAAAATAAACAGTTTTGTAAAGTAAAAAAAATGAACGAAAACTCGAGACCTCGTATTCCAAATGAATGGGTAAGATATATGTATGAAAAACTTGAAAGTGGTGAGTAAGGATGTCAATTTGGAAGAAAAGTGAGAAAATTTTGATTGTGAACTCATCTCTAATATTTTGGCTCCTTAATATATTTGAATCATGATCTTTGAGAAGAGTTCTCAAAAGTATTCACAAAAGCTATTTTTCCTTGAAATTTAAAAATCCTGTTTATCATATATTACCGAATTCAATTCCCTACATATTTCAAAATATTCTATGAACATTTCAATTTTTGAAAAAAAAAACATATTTTTTCCAAATATATTTATTATCATATTTCTAATAATATTTCCTAAAGCGTCACTTTTTACTTCCTCGACAATTATTTCCCTCTCAAAAATTCAATAGCTTACATTTTGACAGAACTTAATATGAAACAGTATTATGCTTAGTATTATTTCATTTTTCTCATTCAATTTAGAATTTACAAATGTCAAATAATTGAGAGCTGTCACTTTTGATGAATTTCTGTTTATTACATTTCCACCTCTCAATTTTACCATTTGCTTCGGGGTTGCCTGTTAGACTAAATATTTTTTATCAATATTTTCTTTTCCGATGTCAGTACATATTGCATCAATTCTGCCCTTCTTCTTAGATAAGAAGAATGATCGTTTGAGCAGATGGATATGTTACTGAGAAACATTGCTTGTTATGTTTCCATCTACTATGTAGAGCATCATCCAATTCTCTTTTGTGCGGGGCCATTGCTTGTCAAAATATGCCAATGCTCTAGATCCTTCCTCTTCAAGTATCGATGTTCTTATGAGCATTTAAAAGATAAAATTTCAAAATTTTAGGTGTAGCAAAAAAAACTTGCCACCTTAGCGCAAGCTCTCAAAACAATGACAGAGCACCACGAAAGTTTTGCGAGCGGAAATTCATTCTCTATTGCTCTTGCTGTTGCATGCTAAGTTCGGTCAACGATAGAAATTGAGTGGAAATTAATCGTCGAGGAAGTACGATTATGCAAAGTAAAAAAATGTTGTGGGATTTTTAATATTATATATTATTTTATAATAAAATTTTTGAGTCATTTTAAGAAGCACATATAATTTTTTGAATTTAAAAATTAAAGTAGTGTCAAACGAATTTATCACTTAATTTAATACTCAGATTTCTTAAAATTAATGAAAAAAAGGTTTTCTGAGAACTTTTGAGAATGGTTTTCAAATTCCATTATTGAAAATATATAGGTATTGTATGAAATTCAAACTCTATATTTATTAAATTTCTAAATTCTTAATAAAATAACTTTTCAGAGGAATATGATTTTGAATGGTTGATTAATAAGTATAAAAATGTCTACGATTTTAAGGAGGGAATTGTTCCTTATGAGGTATTCATCATAACTATATACCTCATAAGGAACAATTCCATCTTGATAGCTGGGAAACTTTCTCTGAATAACTTATCATTTGGAGAAAGTTTCCCAGCTATCTATTAGAAACTAAAGGCTATGAGGCACTAATATATAATCAGTGCCTCATAGCCTTTAGTTTCTTATTAAAAACGAGAAAACTTGTTCGAAATGATAAACAATTTCGAACAAGTTTTCTCGTTTTAAGGAGGGAATTGTTCCTTATGAGGTATACATCATAACTATATACCTCATAAGGAACAATTCCCTCTTGATATCCTGGATATTTTTGAATATATTTTTTTAATTAAAGTTCTCAAAAGTATTATCAAAAGTGATTTTTTAAAAATATCTCCAATTAATTAACTAATTAAAAGTATTATATTTTTAAAATTAAATAGTTTTTCAATTTTTTTGAAGGAATTGAGATACTTCCCACGACAATAAAATTGAGAGGTTTACATTATGACTGATCTTAGCATGCAACATTGCAATATTAAGAGCACAATTTTCACTCTAATATCACGGATAATGATGAGCGAACTGGCATAATGTAACCAC